CCCCCCCTCAGATTGCCCAATTCATTTCTGTTTATTAAAAAGCAGCACAACTCTAAAGCTGGCCAGGCACTGTTAGAATTTCAGATGATTTACAAGAATCAGAATCAGTGGGTGGCCCTGCCAGCTGGACAAAGGCCAGGGAGTTGGGCTGACATTTTTTTTACCAAACATTGACAGCAACTCATCAGCTGCCATCATTGTTCATGTCCTGTGACAGGGGTGAGCACCGGCTATCAGAATACAATAGCCACAGCGGGAGATTCATCCTTCTATGCTGTTTAGCGTGGATTGAGGAACCAGAGATTTATTTTACATTTAGTCTGCCATCTATTAGTGTATGGCGAGCATAATCATTATTTACATGTGTTCACAAGTTTTAAGGCTTACTTCTGGACTACCCTTCAACTAGCAATTTATTTTGACGATATGGGATATATTTCTAAAGCAGTGAATGTGACTTTAACCAAACATTCACTGGTAGTGAATAAAACCTTTATAGAATGGTTTCCATAACACCCCTGGTATCTTAATTTGTGGGGGAAAAACAAACTAGTTTGGCAAAGAAAATAATTATGAAATGGTGAATTCTTAAAAAATAAGTACATGAAAAATAAAATTTCTGGCAAAACAATACAAAACAAACTGATATTGGCACAAAATCATATAAATGTAGTTCTTAAGCTGTCAAAAGAAAAAAAAGGGGATCGTATGTTATATTTTTTACTGTTGCCCGTTTCCTCACTGAGGAGATTTCCTGTGACTTCTGGTCCTGGAGACGATGGTCACCAAGAAAAGCCATCTCTCCTTCAGGAATACAGAAAGCAATACAAACCTTTAGTTTTAGTTAAGTGAGGTTAGAACCTCTGTTAGCTTTTTAATGTTGGTGGTAACTCACGTCCTGTTCTAATGACAATGATCACCAGGACTGGGAGTGAGTGAAAATGTGCCCAGCAGGATCATACACAGCAATAAAAGCCACACAGAAGCTCACCTCACAGTATAAAATATAATTTAGAACAAGTCTGGGCTAAACTTTAATCCTTTAGGGCTCATTCTGATCTGTGTGTTGCAGTAACACATGGCAAAATGCTCTTCAACACACAGAGCTTATGTGGTTTGTTGGGTGCCATTCATTCTGAAACGCACATGTGTTTTAGTTGTGGTGCTGCGCATAAAAAATTAGAACAGGTATGCGTTTTCCTGCACGGAGGTGCGCTGCCAATAAGTTCAAAATGAATGGGATTCCTTAATGCAGCACGCCTCAATACACGAAAACACAGGACTCAATGCAATGCATGGTGTGAATGGGTCCTTAGTGTTACATATGATTAATATACTGTTCATAATCTGACAATGGTAGCATAACTGAAAATAGAATACCATTTACACTTCAGATATTTCAACCTCAGCTCATACAATCAATCCTCTGTTCACCAATAAGTCTGCATTGGATATCCATTTCATTTTAATATAGGAATATTAGGCTGGTCGTCAAAGAATAAAAATAATGTCCATCTTGTAGAAAAGTCCCAGAAAATATCCCTGTGGTTTATTTCTCATAGAAGGCAACGTGCTCCTGAACTATTCTGATATTTTTAAGGGTATAAAAAAAAAAGAAAATGGGATCGTTTAAAACATGGCAAAAAATGATGTCTGGCACAGAAAGCTTCTTGGTTTCCATTTAAACATATAAAAAGATAATGTAATAACACGTTTCTTCTGCACAAAAAAAAGCATGGGTTTAAAATGGATGCTGCTTTCACGGAAAGCAAAATAACTTGAACATGCAATTCATTGGCCATTAAACTGGAGTTTGTGATAAAAGTCTTGATAAAATATAAAAAGAAAAATATTTCTGTTCCAATGTACACAGAAGCTCCCAATGAAGAGAAGATGCGATCTGCACCATATACACACAGTACTGAATGAAGTCAGTATATAGCAGCCTGCAGAGTGCCACAGTGAAGGTTACCTCCTCCGCACGCACCGTGCTCCCTCTATTCAGAGTCTTAATGCTGGAGCCAACATTCCCTTTGTCAAATCTTTACATCTTGAGCCTCTACCATCTTTGCAAGCGTCTTTTTGATTCGTAAGGCCGTTAGACGGGACGCAGGATTTTGAGCCCAACACTCGGCCATCAGTTTCAAGATTGCTCTTAAGCACTGAAGAGGGAGATAGCAAGAAATGTGTTAAATTATTTCAAAAAGGAAAACAAACAAAATGTCCCACCTTAGAGTGAGTAAATGTCCCACCTGAGAATGTTTCAGCAGAATTAACTTTGTTACCCAACCAAACGCAAGGTAACATTTCTATGTAACATTTCTTTGTATGAGTCAGTCCACAGAAAAGCATAGAAACGTGAACGGCTGCAGCCTGCCCTCTAAGTGTTATGACACTAAGTCACTTGCTCATGATCCCATGGCTGGTCACAGGTCATTTGTAAATAGTTACCATCACATTTAAAAGTCTCTTGTGTGCCCTATTTATTATAGCCTTTTATTATAACAAATACAACCACCTACCTCATCACTGTTCCACCTATTGGACACGGTGGGGCGTAAACACTTTATGCACACAACTTCTCGCATGTCTTCAAAGGATGGATCGCTTGGCACCATATCATAATAAGGCAACTGATACTCTTCAACAATACCTAGTAAAAATTCCAATAATAATGAACGTAATTAATAACATTGCTTTGGTTTAGATGATGTTACCTGTAAATGTTATCAAGAGGAGTGTGAAACTAGTAAAAGTAGATTGATTTATGTAAAGTGGAAATATCCAGCATACAGTAAAATAACAAGTCAACACTAGTCTACTCTCATATTTTCCCACTTGACTTTCACCTAAACAATCCCTATTTACTTATTTATATAAACAAAATTCTTGTCTTTAGCTTAATACCGTTTTAACAGCACGCCAAAACCAATAAAAGTATATATAACCCCAAAACAAAGCAAAAAAAAAAAAAAAATCGAATGCACTTCAGATTACCAGTCCTTATGTCAACCTAAACTATAAAAGTGAACTTTTCATTCATTTTACAAGCCTGTGTGTGTTGTATTTGTAGTCTTTTGTCTTCCATTTCTCCAGAACAATATCAGAGCTCTTCCTGGTATGCGATGCTGCCTAGGCAGTGTAAGATCGAAAGCTCTGCTTCCTCTACCTATTAGAGTTATGCGATTTGGAGTGAGATTTAGTTTTGTCACTATTGTGCTATTCACTGTTCTCTTTGCTGGAGGCTCTAACATGAGGAAGCAAAACCCTGCCTCTACCAAGACAGACACCTCCACAAAGAGATACAGTGCAGGGCAAGGTGTGACAAGTAATAGGAAAAGATCAGCTGCAGGGAGACCAAAAGCTAAATTGGCAAAGACATTTTTCCTTTAATTTCACCTGGTGTTCCTGCCAGTAACACAATTCCTGTCCTAGAGTGACAGTGCTCACTTACTGTGGTGGAGCAGCATTGTCATCTAAGGCTGCTCTCCTGATTTAGCTACAAAAAGCTCCTCCTCTCCTCATTTACATAGCGTGAAAAGCTGAAATCACTGTCGGAGATTTTAGTTTAGTGGTGCACAGTATGTTACAAGCATACTGGATTATGCTTGTAATATGCTTGATCAACAGTTTTTTTTTTTTTTTTGTGTGAAATATTAAAGTATATGTAGACCTAAAAATGAACTTCTCTTATTGACTCTAAGGCTGGGTTCACACCTAGGCGTATTAAATATGTGCGTTTGTCGCGTGTTTTTACCGCGATAAGCGGTAAAAAAACCGCACGACAAACACGCGTTTCCGAGGGCTACCTGGCTGTATCCAAAATGGATACACACAGCAAATACGCCCCAAAAAAGCTCCTGTACTTATTTGGGCGTAGGGCGTTTTGTAACGCGTTCATACGGCCTGTAATACGCCCAGGTGTGAACATACCCATAGGAAATAATGGAATTTTGGTGTTTGAGCGTTTTGCAGAGCGTAGGAAGGAACTACAAAACGCCCAGGTGTGAACCAGGCCTAAGGAAGTATTTTGTTATATCCGTTTCTTTAAGGGACACTGAACTCAGCAGTTAAATTTTAAAAGTGCACTCAGGTACCCTATTAACAAAAATGTATCTTATTTGTGTATCACTCGGCTGTAGATCCTCAAATCATCTCTGAAAGTATCCACCACTCCAAACTCAAGCCTGTGATGGATTACAATCTCAGTACAAATTAGTAAACTAAACATGAGATTGTAATCTATCACAGGAGTGAGCTTGGAGCGGTGGCTACTTTACAGCACACAGGCACCATGCAACATTTTTAGAAAGTGGCCAGATATTGCTACTTCTCTCATGACAGGTATACTTTAAATGCATTGAAATGAGGTAATATAGAATGTGTCTGCCTTACCGCCTGTGATGCAGCGGCGGGTCATTTCCCAAATAATTAAGCTAAAGCTATATATGTCCGCCATTATGTAAGCTTGGAAGTGGTTCTTATTCAAACTTTCATCCAGAACTTCAGGCGCCATGTAGCGTTTTGTGCCTACACGTGTGTTCAAAGGAATATCCACTTCATGGGTGTCGCTGGAAAAAAAAAAGAAAAAAGGGAGACATTGTTAAGTGTTTATTTTAAATTTCTGCACCACTCTGTACCATTAATAATAATACAAAATATCAGCAATCAAATGTTTTGAACCAGAAAGTGCAAATGGCATGGATATGGAATGCAGCAGCAATTCATTGGTCAGCCATATAGCAGTCAGGGTTTTAAAAGCCATAGATGCTTATGGCTGTATTACCTTGGGGAGGTGTAAGAACTCAGTAACAAATCTCCGTCTTTTATGAGCAGCTATTATTCTCCTAACTACCATTATGGGTTAATGTTCATCTCTCTAGATTTACAAAGAACTGTCTGCACTCTATCTAGTGTTAATAATCAGCCCATTACCTGTTAAATTTGACTGCCAGTCCCAGGTCAGCAATACAGCATGTCCAGTTTTCCTTGATAAGGATGTTTTTGCTTTTCAAGTCCCTGTGAGCGATTGCTGGTTTTCCCTGAGTACCATATATCTCCGTGTGTAGGTGACACAAGCCACAGGCGGCAGAGTAAGCCAGCTTGAGCAGAGATCTTGTATCCAGAGTGGCACACTTGAGAAAATCATACAAGGATCCATTCTCATGATATTCTGTTATCAGATACATTTGTGTCCAGGATCCTGTTCCTTTAATATCAGCCGCTATGAAACCTGTGATGACAGAAGACAATAAGGCACTGCGTAGTAGTAATATTATAAGAGTCATTGCCAACTCCCTAATAGCTAGAGAAAATTAGAAATTAAAAACACTATATAGAATGTCTATAATCAAAGGAAAGTCAAAACAGCCTAACAAAATAATTCTTACACGGATGATGAGAAATGCACGAAAAAGGAAGAAACGATTTCAAATAGTTTAAATATTTGGCGGACGGCAGCGTAGCGACACGAATTTGGCGGACGGCAGCATAGCGACACAAATTTGGCGGACGGCAGCGTAGCGACACAAATTTGGCGGACGGCAGCGTAGCGACACGAATTTGGCGGGCGGCAGCGTAGCAACACGAATTTGGCGGGCGGCAGCGTAGCGACACGAATTTGGCGGACGGCAGCGTAGCGACACGAATTTGGTGGACGGCAGCGTAGCGACACAAATTTGGTGGACGCCAGCGTTGCGACAAATTTGGTGGACGGCAGCGTAGCGACACAAATTTGGTGGACGGCAGCGTAGCGACACAAATTTGGTGGACGGCAGCGTAGCGACACAAATTTGGTGGCTGGCAGCGTAGCGACACGAATTTGGCGGACGGCAGCGTAGCGACACGAATTTGGCGGACGCCAGTGCTACAGCCCCATTACATACCACATATTTCCCATATAAACACAAATACACTTACCGAGAATATTCTCATGCCGCATCAGCACAGTCTGATAGATTTCAGTCTCTCTGAACCAACTGGCTTCCTCAGCCGTGAAAAACACCTTGACTGCTACCTTTTCACCTCTCCATTTTCCCATCCAAACCTCTCCATATCTTCCCTTTCCAATCTGCCTCACCATCTGGATCTGTTTAGCAATGGTTCTCTGAACCTGAAAGACAACATACAAGTAATGTACATGTCCCACTAATTGTAATGAAATGTGTCAGTTTAATGTGCACCAACTTACCAAAAGTGGAAGCCCTGACCCACTGCCAGAACTTTGTGACAGGTCAATGAGAGCTTTCAATGATTCTCCAGCTGGTATGAAAGCATCATCCCGTTCCAGATCCCGGTTATAGCGCATTCTCTGGGATGCCAGCTTATTCCTGTGTCAGAAACAAAGCACGACCAAGTATTTTTTTTTTTAAATATTGTACAAGGATTCCAGTACAACTTCATCCCGTTATGTTTTAATGTATTTCCAGCTAGAATATTGTAAACCTGTCACGAGTAAAATATGGTGGCTGGTATACTTGCAGCAATAAGAGCCAGCACCGAATGGTGCACTCTCAAGTATCTCTTGCAGACACAGATATTCCCTTTCTAGTGATAGCATATTTTCAGTTTAAAAAAATATTGCAATGCTTGCTTAAAAGTTTTAAGTTAAAACTATATGACTTAATACAATAGCAAAAAATGCATATTGTTTGTGAGGTTTGGAGCTTAGATACAGGAGAGAGCAATCAGTGGTTTGGTATCACTTAACCTCTGAACACTAGGGGTTCAGCAAAACCGCACATGCATTCATTCTGTACTAATTACCCAGCTGTTGTGAGTGGGGCAGATTTTAATGTTTCGTGTATTTTCTCTTCTGGTTAGTTAGAATAAATGAAAAGTGGGCTGGTGCCAAATCTATACATATACAAATGCTTACAAATGTAAAAGTAAGGCAGACTTTTTAGGTACCCAATTTTACAAAAATTACAAATTTATAAATAAAAAGCATAAGACCTAATCATAGAGTGAGTCGCGAGGCTTAATCCTAGATTGGATCATGAGAAGTATTTAAAGTGTATTTTAAAAAAAATTGAATAAAACTAATTTCTGTAAATCACAGAGAATGTATCAAAACTGGAGTAGGCAGAATCTGGAGGAGTTGCCCATAGTAGCCAATCAATTTCTATCTTTTATTTTCAAAGCTTTACTGGACAAAATGAAGAGAAAAGCTGACTGGTTACTATGGGCAACTGCTCCAGTTTTGATACGCCCCCCCCAGAATGTTTTGTCTGAATATCTGAAAAGCCCGCCTTACTTTCTATTTTTTATTCTGTCAAATGTTCTTTATACATCACTGGAAGTAATTACCGTATTTTTCGCTCCATAAGACGCACCTGACCATGGTATGAGTGGGAGGTGTGTGTGAGAGCTGAGGCGGCGGGGCTGACAGTGTTATTTACCTCTTCCACAATGCCGCTGCCCGTGTTGCCTGTGTCTAACTTACTGAGACTCCTCCCTTTCATGACAGAGGAAGGTGAGAAGCCGATCAGACACAGAAGTTAGATAAGGGCAGCGACATTATGGAAGAGGTACATAACGCTGGTGTGCTGTCAGCCCCGCCGCCTCAGCGCGCACGCACACACACAGCGGGAGCCACTGCTGGTGTGTGTGTGACATCTGAGGCAGCAGGGCTGCTGGCGCAGGAGATTGTTGAGACCTGGCGGGAATATTCGCTCCATAAGATGCACAGACATTTTTGCCCGCCAGGCTTACAAAAAGTGAAATGCAAAGAGGTGTATGCTATCTAGGATATCTCTCTTTTGCAAACAATTTACTGTTTCATTGGATGGCAATACGGTAGTACAAAATTTGTTATACTTCCTGCGGTATGATAGTAGAGACACAGCTCCCCTACACAGCAGCCGCACTGCCCACCCTTCACCTCCCCTGGCCACTCACAGAACACTTTTGATTTTGTGAATAGATTCACCAAGCATTCTGTGATCGATGTTGCCCCATTTTCACAACACTTGTTTAATTTCACAGAACAAATTTCGTTTCACTGGAAAAACAGCTTTTTTTTTTACCCCTAGGGCTGGCCATACATGGATAGAGTTTTGGCTCTTTCCTGTGAGTCGGCTGAAATTCTAACAGCATGTGGCTCTGCTGACTCAAAAGTCAATCAATCGATTTTTGTCCAAGGCGCCGGGCCAAAACAGTGACAGCAACCCATCAGCTAATGTATTCTGACAGCAGCGGGCGCTGGCTGTCACAATAAAAAAAGCCAGAGCGGAAGATATGTCCATCCATAACGTTTAGCATCGACGGAGGAATCTGTTTGATGTTGGTTTTCGTTCAGCCCTTAGGCTAACAGTTAATGTCCAGCTTGAGTTTGTTGCTTTCAATAGGTGGTGACTCTCAGGCTTACATATGTATTGGCTAAATATGTATAGCCCAAACTTTTTTGTTTTGTTTTCAGAATAGAATATGATTAGAACTCTGTAAAATGTTTTTTGGTGATGTGTCCCAGGTAGGTAGAGACTATCTAAGAAGGGAATTCCACTCACTCTGTAGAGATTTCATCTGCATCCATGGGAAAGGAAGTGAAGAGAAATCTCTAACAGCACACAAACAGCAAAAATAAAAAAAATAAAAAACAGAGGTTTTAACCCCTGCTTTCTCCATCAGCAAAATGTATTGGGTATACACGTACATTTCAGGCTGTATTCATAAAATCAATTGACAGCAGATCGGTGATTTTGTATTTGTTTTGTCACAACACATTTTGGGCACTAGATGGAGCCGTGGAGCATGGCAATTTCCTATGCCACTTGGCTCCATCTAATGCCCATAACATTCTGCAAATCTAAAACTTAGATACTTTATAAATACACGGCGATTTTCCCCTACACAAATAAAGCACTGTTCTCTAAACTCAGTAAAAGCAAAGTGGGTGATAGAATATTAAAGAAGTGTGAAAAGTTCTTACTTGTAGATGCAAGTGAAGATAAAGATCACCATGATAAATAAGCAGACTACAAAAGATATTGTGAAAGCGATGAGGTGTGCACTCCGTCCAAATATTCCTTCTGCAGAGATGAAAAGAATAACCGTTAGAATTTCTACAACAAGTCAATTATATAAAAACTACACAAAACTAGAAATTTCCGAGCATAAAACCAGTCAACGTTCCACAGAAAGCCTATGTATATGTGTTCTAATGTAATTGTGGTCTTAAATAACCTCAGTGCCATCTCCAGAAATCTCTATTACCTTACTCTTTTATAACGGAGCACAGGGGGAATATTTACTCAATAACACTACCAAAGTGGCTTGTGATTAACTGCTAAAAGCAGAAATCAATTGCTACACAGATGGAACAAATTGGTGTACACTACACAGGTTGCATGCAGTAGTGATCAACTGCACAATGCTCCAGGAGTGTGATAAATTGAAGAGTACATGCTACTTGTGTAGTTCATACCGTAAAGAGCCATATTTACAATTAAGTGCAAGTGATATTAGTATTGTGTTTGAGACACACATAATCAAGGCTATTAGACTTCTCCTATAAAACAGCAAATATGATCTTTCCAGAACAGATATAGATTACAATTATTGTTAGACTGTCCCAACTAGCAGAAACAAGTTTATTCTAGGTGTCCCTCTTTCCGCCTTTCTCTGCGTGAAGTGCCGTGAACATTTGTAGGTATTTTGCACATCTAAAAGGATTTTTTCTATTTGCATTTTATTCTTACAATGCACTAATAAATCACAAAATATGTAATAAGCAGCTGACAATATGTAAAATATGACTGAACTAAAGTGTTGTCTTATAATGAATAAAACATGTAAGCAAATCTTCTTGCATTCAGATTCAGTTTTTTTACCTGGTCTCCCATCCGGAGGCAACGTCGGATGTAAATCCTTATTACAGAAGTCAGTCCGGCAACATTCAATTGTCCTCCGTAACTGCGCCTTGGGAGAATCCTGTGCATGAAATAGAAGAAAGGTTCCATTTAATGATCCATATTTGTAAACAAAGGTAAAACACAAATGATATTTATATCAAAGCGAAAGGAAGCATAGATTGTACTAACGTTTATAGTGGGCTGTATACCACATAAAAATAACGTTTTACACGTGGAACCTTGTCTGTGATAACTGGAGAGTACCTGGATGGTATTACCAGCCTCTACGCAGTGAGTGACTTTAGAGCAGGCCACAATACCCACATTTGAAGGGAACAAGTGCACTTAGCTGTCATACAGCACAAGGTGATATACAGCCTACTATAAAAGGTGAACACAATTTGTTTCCTGTTACTTAACATCTCAAGTGATGAGCCCTCTCTTTTGACATCACTAAAAATATTCCCATCGCACACATTCCTGGACAGGGCCAAGAGTAAAGGGGTGCTGTAGCAACTGCCAGAAGGTTGGCTGGCATTGATTAACACTCCAAACATTTTATTGTAGCCATCACATCATAAGCCATGTCCGTGTACCGTACCAACACCAATCTCTTTGGACATTCTCTTTTACTATCAATTACGCTCCAGGGGTGGCTTCTTCGAGGTGCTGCTCAACAGTCTAGCTCTAATTATTGCTCTTTTAAACTAACAAATTGGGTGGACGGCAGCGTAGCGACACAAATTTGGTGGACGGCAGCGTAGCGACACAAATTTGGTGGACGGCAGCGTAGCGACACAAATTTGGTGGCTGGCAGCGTAGCGACACGAATTTGGCGGACGGCAGCGTAGCGACACGAATTTGGCGGACGCCAGTGCTACAGCCCCATTACATACCACATATTTCCCATATAAACACAAATACACTTACCGAGAATATTCTCATGCCGCATCAGCACAGTCTGATAGATTTCAGTCTCTCTGAACCAACTGGCTTCCTCAGCCGTGAAAAACACCTTGACTGCTACCTTTTCACCTCTCCATTTTCCCATCCAAACCTCTCCATATCTTCCCTTTCCAATCTGCCTCACCATCTGGATCTGTTTAGCAATGGTTCTCTGAACCTGAAAGACAACATACAAGTAATGTACATGTCCCACTAATTGTAATGAAATGTGTCAGTTTAATGTGCACCAACTTACCAAAAGTGGAAGCCCTGACCCACTGCCAGAACTTTGTGACAGGTCAATGAGAGCTTTCAATGATTCTCCAGCTGGTATGAAAGCATCATCCCGTTCCAGATCCCGGTTATAGCGCATTCTCTGGGATGCCAGCTTATTCCTGTGTCAGAAACAAAGCACGACCAAGTATTTTTTTTTTTAAATATTGTACAAGGATTCCAGTACAACTTCATCCCGTTATGTTTTAATGTATTTCCAGCTAGAATATTGTAAACCTGTCACGAGTAAAATATGGTGGCTGGTATACTTGCAGCAATAAGAGCCAGCACCGAATGGTGCACTCTCAAGTATCTCTTGCAGACACAGATATTCCCTTTCTAGTGATAGCATATTTTCAGTTTAAAAAAATATTGCAATGCTTGCTTAAAAGTTTTAAGTTAAAACTATATGACTTAATACAATAGCAAAAAATGCATATTGTTTGTGAGGTTTGGAGCTTAGATACAGGAGAGAGCAATCAGTGGTTTGGTATCACTTAACCTCTGAACACTAGGGGTTCAGCAAAACCGCACATGCATTCATTCTGTACTAATTACCCAGCTGTTGTGAGTGGGGCAGATTTTAATGTTTCGTGTATTTTCTCTTCTGGTTAGTTAGAATAAATGAAAAGTGGGCTGGTGCCAAATCTATACATATACAAATGCTTACAAATGTAAAAGTAAGGCAGACTTTTTAGGTACCCAATTTTACAAAAATTACAAATTTATAAATAAAAAGCATAAGACCTAATCATAGAGTGAGTCGCGAGGCTTAATCCTAGATTGGATCATGAGAAGTATTTAAAGTGTATTTTAAAAAAAATTGAATAAAACTAATTTCTGTAAATCACAGAGAATGTATCAAAACTGGAGTAGGCAGAATCTGGAGGAGTTGCCCATAGTAGCCAATCAATTTCTATCTTTTATTTTCAAAGCTTTACTGGACAAAATGAAGAGAAAAGCTGACTGGTTACTATGGGCAACTGCTCCAGTTTTGATACGCCCCCCCCAGAATGTTTTGTCTGAATATCTGAAAAGCCCGCCTTACTTTCTATTTTTTATTCTGTCAAATGTTCTTTATACATCACTGGAAGTAATTACCGTATTTTTCGCTCCATAAGACGCACCTGACCATGGTATGAGTGGGAGGTGTGTGTGAGAGCTGAGGCGGCGGGGCTGACAGTGTTATTTACCTCTTCCACAATGCCGCTGCCCGTGTTGCCTGTGTCTAACTTACTGAGACTCCTCCCTTTCATGACAGAGGAAGGTGAGAAGCCGATCAGACACAGAAGTTAGATAAGGGCAGCGACATTATGGAAGAGGTACATAACGCTGGTGTGCTGTCAGCCCCGCCGCCTCAGCGCGCACGCACACACACAGCGGGAGCCACTGCTGGTGTGTGTGTGACATCTGAGGCAGCAGGGCTGCTGGCGCAGGAGATTGTTGAGACCTGGCGGGAATATTCGCTCCATAAGATGCACAGACATTTTTGCCCGCCAGGCTTACAAAAAGTGAAATGCAAAGAGGTGTATGCTATCTAGGATATCTCTCTTTTGCAAACAATTTACTGTTTCATTGGATGGCAATACGGTAGTACAAAATTTGTTATACTTCCTGCGGTATGATAGTAGAGACACAGCTCCCCTACACAGCAGCCGCACTGCCCACCCTTCACCTCCCCTGGCCACTCACAGAACACTTTTGATTTTGTGAATAGATTCACCAAGCATTCTGTGATCGATGTTGCCCCATTTTCACAACACTTGTTTAATTTCACAGAACAAATTTCGTTTCACTGGAAAAACAGCTTTTTTTTTTACCCCTAGGGCTGGCCATACATGGATAGAGTTTTGGCTCTTTCCTGTGAGTCGGCTGAAATTCTAACAGCATGTGGCTCTGCTGACTCAAAAGTCAATCAATCGATTTTTGTCCAAGGCGCCGGGCCAAAACAGTGACAGCAACCCATCAGCTAATGTATTCTGACAGCAGCGGGCGCTGGCTGTCACAATAAAAAAAGCCAGAGCGGAAGATATGTCCATCCATAACGTTTAGCATCGACGGAGGAATCTGTTTGATGTTGGTTTTCGTTCAGCCCTTAGGCTAACAGTTAATGTCCAGCTTGAGTTTGTTGCTTTCAATAGGTGGTGACTCTCAGGCTTACATATGTATTGGCTAAATATGTATAGCCCAAACTTTTTTGTTTTGTTTTCAGAATAGAATATGATTAGAACTCTGTAAAATGTTTTTTGGTGATGTGTCCCAGGTAGGTAGAGACTATCTAAGAAGGGAATTCCACTCACTCTGTAGAGATTTCATCTGCATCCATGGGAAAGGAAGTGAAGAGAAATCTCTAACAGCACACAAACAGCAAAAATAAAAAAAATAAAAAACAGAGGTTTTAACCCCTGCTTTCTCCATCAGCAAAATGTATTGGGTATACACGTACATTTCAGGCTGTATTCATAAAATCAATTGACAGCAGATCGGTGATTTTGTATTTGTTTTGTCACAACACATTTTGGGCACTAGATGGAGCCGTGGAGCATGGCAATTTCCTATGCCACTTGGCTCCATCTAATGCCCATAACATTCTGCAAATCTAAAACTTAGATACTTTATAAATACACGGCGATTTTCCCCTACACAAATAAAGCACTGTTCTCTAAACTCAGTAAAAGCAAAGTGGGTGATAGAATATTAAAGAAGTGTGAAAAGTTCTTACTTGTAGATGCAAGTGAAGATAAAGATCACCATGATAAATAAGCAGACTACAAAAGATATTGTGAAAGCGATGAGGTGTGCACTCCGTCCAAATATTCCTTCTGCAGAGATGAAAAGAATAACCGTTAGAATTTCTACAACAAGTCAATTATATAAAAACTACACAAAACTAGAAATTTCCGAGCATAAAACCAGTCAACGTTCCACAGAAAGCCTATGTATATGTGTTCTAATGTAATTGTGGTCTTAAATAACCTCAGTGCCATCTCCAGAAATCTCTATTACCTTACTCTTTTATAACGGAGCACAGGGGGAATATTTACTCAATAACACTACCAAAGTGGCTTGTGATTAACTGCTAAAAGCAGAAATCAATTGCTACACAGATGGAACAAATTGGTGTACACTACACAGGTTGCATGCAGTAGTGATCAACTGCACAATGCTCCAGGAGTGTGATAAATTGAAGAGTACATGCTACTTGTGTAGTTCATACCGTAAAGAGCCATATTTACAATTAAGTGCAAGTGATATTAGTATTGTGTTTGAGACACACATAATCAAGGCTATTAGACTTCTCCTATAAAACAGCAAATATGATCTTTCCAGAACAGATATAGATTACAATTATTGTTAGACTGTCCCAACTAGCAGAAACAAGTTTATTCTAGGTGTCCCTCTTTCCGCCTTTCTCTGCGTGAAGTGCCGTGAACATTTGTAGGTATTTTGCACATCTAAAAGGATTTTTTCTATTTGCATTTTATTCTTACAATGCACTAATAAATCACAAAATATGTAATAAGCAGCTGACAATATGTAAAATATGACTGAACTAAAGTGTTGTCTTATAATGAATAAAACATGTAAGCAAATCTTCTTGCATTCAGATTCAGTTTTTTTACCTGGTCTCCCATCCGGAGGCAACGTCGGATGTAAATCCTTATTACAGAAGTCAGTCCGGCAACATTCAATTGTCCTCCGTAACTGCGCCTTGGGAGAATCCTGTGCATGAAATAGAAGAAAGGTTCCATTTAATGATCCATATTTGTAAACAAAGGTAAAACACAAATGATATTTATATCAAAGCGAAAGGAAGCATAGATTGTACTAACGTTTATAGTGGGCTGTATACCACATAAAAATAACGTTTTACACGTGGAACCTTGTCTGTGATAACTGGAGAGTACCTGGATGGTATTACCAGCCTCTACGCAGTGAGTGACTTTAGAGCAGGCCACAATACCCACATTTGAAGGGAACAAGTGCACTTAGCTGTCATACAGCACAAGGTGATATACAGCCTACTATAAAAGGTGAACACAATTTGTTTCCTGTTACTTAACATCTCAAGTGATGAGCCCTCTCTTTTGACATCACTAAAAATATTCCCATCGCACACATTCCTGGACAGGGCCAAGAGTAAAGGGGTGCTGTAGCAACTGCCAGAAGGTTGGCTGGCATTGATTAACACTCCAAACATTTTATTGTAGCCATCACATCATAAGCCATGTCCGTGTACCGTACCAACACCAATCTCTTTGGACATTCTCTTTTACTATCAATTACGCTCCAGGGGTGGCTTCTTCGAGGTGCTGCTCAACAGTCTAGCTCTAATTATTGCTCTTTTAAACTATTAAAGGAAAAGTATTGGGAGAGTAAAATTAACTTTTCCCAGTAGTTTGAGCCTGTGTGTGACACAGCAGGTATCACATGTCGGCTCTATAGTTCCAGAACTGAGCGATCATAAACTGCTGATCGCACAGCTGAGTCTTCTCCGTGCAGAAAGTGGTGACTGTCAGTCACCACTCTCCGCAGGGATTCCCGCCTCCCCTCTCTGTTGCTCCAGCACTTATTGGAGCGACAGACAAGGGAGGGGCAGGCACAGCTGGGTCTAGGGAGGCAGAGACAGCTGTCAATCAAGCAGTATGGTGGATCCCGACAATATTGCCAGGATCTTTCCTGGCTTTAGCGCGGCTCTGCTCTGTCACCATATGGCGAGCAGTAGCCCGCTATATGCTGACTTTGGTTTGGCTATAGTTCTCTTTTAGGTTGATCTGCCCCACTGCCCAGTTGGGTTTTCTCATTCTATATTTGTAATGTTATACAGTAACAGTTTTTCAATCTGCAAGTTCTACCGATGAGAGCCATTAATATAAGCCAGTGCTTACACCAAATATTTGATTTGTTAACACAGGAAAGACAATTTTCTATACACGTGTTTTAGATATAACAACACTAGCAGGTTTGACTGCTTGGCACTAAATTTGGGACATGTTTTAAAGGGCACTTAACAGTTTGGAGCATATTAGTTAAGCTATTTTATATATGAATGAAAAAATGTTGGGATCAGCACCAAAAGTAGACACCAACCCCTGAATAATTTCGCAAATAACAACCAAAGAGATGCAGCTAGACATAATGACACGTAGCTCATTTCATAATAAATACATATTTAATAAATTAATATAGATTAATATCCTGGCTAGCAAACATTGAATTCATAAAACGTAACACAATCATTTATGACAAGACCACATTACATGTATAATCAGCATAACACCTCTAGGATCCCGTACAGATTTGTATTATGCACAATGGCAATAATGAATATTCTTTAGCATTGAGTACATTATAACAATGTCCATAGTTAATTGGTCAAATATATTGTCACATATTTCAGATTGTTCCATATTTCCTCTGACAAATCTGTACTTGTCCATTCTTTGACGCGTTTCGCCGTACCTTTTTCAAGAAGTTTATAGAGGTGGCCATATATCAGAGATTTCTGATGATGAGCAAATTCGCACCTAGGGGAGTTCCTCCACTCAGCCAGGAGATAAGGAGAGGTAGAGGTGGCCTGGGGGGCACATCTTATGGGGTATTTCCGCTTCTTAGATATCCCGAGTCAACTTGACTCTCTCCAAATTCACAGGTCCCCCTCCTCCCGAATCATCCACCGCAGACACACTCGCCGTCCATAGCGTTAGCGTGTGATGTCTGTGGCCGGGGCGATATATGGCCACCTCTATAAACTTCTTGATAAAGCTACGGCGAAACGCGTCGAAGAATGGACAAGTACAGATTTGTCAGAGGAAATATGGAACAATATGAAATATGTGACAATATATTTGACCAATTAACTATGGACATTGTTATAATGTACTCAATGCTAAAGAATATTCATTATTGCCATTGTGCATAATACAAATCTGTACGGGATCCTAGAGGTGTTATGCTGATTATACATGTAATGTGGTCTTGTCATAAATGATTGTGTTACGTTTTATGAATTCTATGTTTGCTAGCCAGGATATTAATCTATATTAATTTATTAAATATGTATTTATTATGAAATGAGCTACGTGTCATTATGTCTAGCTGCATCTCTTTGCATTGTCTAGAAGTCACCTAAAAAGCCCCATTCTCTTTGGTTATTTACGAAGCTATTTTATATATTTTGTTGTTACAAATAAACATTTAAAACATTGCAAAGGAATCCCCAAGCAGTGTGGGTTAGCTAAAGGGCTAGCAGTGAAGAAGCTACAGCACCGAAACTTGGTACAGAGCCTTCTGATAGTCATTGTTCTGACTCATGTAGTGTAGTGTGTACATTTCACCTTGGTCCATTAAAAATTGTAAACAAAGCAATACAAGGGGCCTAGAAATGCCACCTGCTAGCTAGACAGAAGACTATATATACACTGGACTACTTAATAGTCACATGCAATAGTCACACTTTATATCTACCTTTTAAAATAAAAACAGTTTAATATTTTATCACTGATCATAAAAATAGAGTAAATAAAATATGTGCTAAACTACACAGTCCCTTTACTTTTTAGAACATCTTCCTTAATAGACAAAGAATAGTAATAAAAAAAAACACTGCAGCTTATAAGACAATGTAAAAAACTCCACTAGGTCTAAGCTCTGTACTTTTTGGGATTCATACCCAATACTTGATTAGCAAGAGATGCACCTTTTAGTGTTCTAAGCACATTTGAACGCATGTGTATTGTTTTAATAGGGTACATGTACACAGGTGTGTAAACAGGTCTGAAAAAAAAGCAAGCATTTTACTGATGATTTACGCCAGAACTTTCTGGCGAGAAAAAACATGCGTATATGATCAGTAGATTTCTTTTGGCTATGTAAATTCCATGCAAGTTGAACAGGAACACAATATGGATGTTACCTTGCACTGAAAGTCTGAGCCTTCGAGCTTCATACAGCCAGATGTTAATGTAGTGTCTCCCTGTTCATCTTCCTCAATTATGGCAAAGCAATGTCCATTTGTACTGCAATACACAAGATATTTATTGTCAAGTTAAATATGTGAACAAGTTGCAATAAAATCCAGTTCAGCAATTAAGTAACAATGAGATTTATCTGTCTAACAATGTCAGAGAGATAGATAGCAAGATAGATAGATGGTCCCCAAATATCCTAGCATTACTTGCCTCCACTGTGGGAATGATGGGGATTTAAAAAAAAAAAAAAAAAAGAAGATTAGTGACTAGTTATGACTACATGAAAACTTGGTTGAATTTCTTTTTTCTTTAACGGAGAATATTATAGCTTCTCTAGGACTTTATGCTTAGTGGAGACATAACTGATTAAATAAGATGCTAATTAAGGTGGATACATGCACAAAGGTACAGCGAGATACGTCATCATTTTGCTTTAGCCTCCTATAAAAAAAAAAAAAAAAGCGAAAACAAACAGGACAGTATAAGGCAGTGGTCTATGGATTTCACTCCGTGTGTCCTGTGATGCATAATTAAGAAATGTAGTAATTTGCTCAGTGGTGTATATTACAGTCACAGCACTAAAGTACGTGCAGAACACATACAGGCCACTAGGTGTCAGCACATGCCTTCATTGTAAAACACAATGTAACCTACAACATTACGGTGTACTACTGTCACAGGGCATTCATGTTAATTTACCAGAAATAACTATACATAAACTAACAATACAAGCTAAAATAATATATATATATCTATCTATCTATCTGTACATAATAAGATCCCTATATGGATCAATTATAGCCTGTAGGTTAAAGGAGTTTGTAGTTTTGCATAGGGTGGGGAAGAATTTCCTCCTCTGGACAGGAAAATCTCCCTACTTCTGTCTACAGAAAAGGTTAAAGTAAAGCCACCCAACAGGGACACATATAGCTGATCTTTCTTTAAATGGTAGAGAGGAAAGGTTTAGAACTTCTGTCAGGCTCTATTGCCGTCTGTGTCCCAGATGGGGGAGATTTTTCCTTGCTTCCTGTGCAGCTGAGGCATGTCGGAAAGAACAGGAAGATAATAGAACTCTCTTCTCTTCTAGGGTGACAATTTAAAATCTGAAATAAGAAGCTTTAGGGATTGTACACACCATATCCAAACCAAATCTGGATGTGTTTCTAAAAACGTGTGTATGAGCATTTTTTTAATGAGTTCTGGTTTGTTTTTTGTTCTCATTGGTTTTTCTTGGGTTTTAGGCATGCTTGAGTGGGTTCTGGTGCGTTGACATGCATTTTTGTGTGTTACAGCATGAAAAAGAAATGCAGCCTGTTCTTTTTTTTTTTAAAGTTCTGGAACTGAAAGCAATGGTGTGAACAAGCCTCTTTTTAAACCATTGGAATTGCTGTGCGTGCGCTTTTAGTGCAGATAAAAACATTCTGGTCTGAAGAATAGGCCTTTATAGAGAGCACAAATACGGCATTTTAAATTCAAGGCAAGACCTAAACCTAAAATAAGAAAAAAAAACAAAAAGAAGTTTTGGCTGCAGTTGCGCTGTAACCTTAACCTCCAGAGGGCTGCACCAATCAATGCCTCTGTCTCTCACATCTCTAGTCCCCTAGCTGTGGCATTAGTCTGTGGTGAGTATATGATCGCTGTCTTTTAGCTTGTGCAGATGGCAAGGGGTTAAAATATTCTACACGGCCGCTAACAAGATGTATTTTTTCCCAATCAGGCAAGACTGATGTGAATGTGCACTGTGTGAAGCGCTGCATAAATTATCAGCGCTAAATAACTAATAAATGAGAGAGAGAGAGAGAGAGAGAGAGAGAGAGAGAGAGAGTGATGGAAAGAGAGGAGTGATGGAAAGAGAGGAGAGGAGAGGAGAGGAGAGAGAGAGAGAGAGAGAGAGAAGAGAAGAGAGAGAGAGAGACTGTAGGGTGTATACAGGTGATATATAGGACGACCTGCCATGATTCAATCTGGCAATATGAAATACATTCACCCTTGATTTTAGCTGGGTGACATTCCTTGCATAACTCTAGAAATAATTGATTTGATACAGTGACTGAATTTTCACTTGAGAAGTATAAAAACTTACATGCATGTGTTATTTGTTGCATCTTCTGGGCAATAACCAAAACAGTAACAATTTAAGAAGGGTAGCGTGTCTTCTGGAGCGAACGTCACCCCATTTTCCTGTTTCTTAAGGTCAGAGTTAGACTTTGTTCCAGTCCTATGTGGGAAGATGTCCACATTTTGACCTATGGGGAAAAAGCAGGAGTTTAAGAAATTGTACACAAAACACCACATTGCTGTACAACGTAGAAATGTCACAATATTATCACTATCCATTTTCTCCAGAAAACGTTATCTGTACCAAGTTTGCAGTGTTTGCATTAGCGTAATCCCAGAGGATCGCTATGGTCAGTGTTAAAGTCTATTTCCACTTTTGCAGCCAAAATGGGATAGCATCTACTTTATATTTGTTATATCAAATCGTATTGCAGAGCTTGAAAGAAAAAAAAAAAAAAAAAAGATATTAAAAAATATCCGTTGACATTTGCAAGTGCTTTTTACTTGCTAAAAAAATTCTACCTAGCTTACCCCTCAGTAATGTTAAAACGGGCTCTGTGGGAATGTTTACTCTAATGAACCCTGTTTGTACTGTACTGGCACATTATCAGATGTAAACTAGATTTGAACACCGTTTGTCCTAACAAAGGGTTAAAGACTTAGAAGCATTGTATGTTAATTAGAAGCAGCTCAGTCTGTCCCTCAGTTTTTCCCTATACTTTAATTTTCTAACTGCTCCGAGTGCAGATTCCGAGTAGCCCGGAATCTGCACAAAGACCTTCACCAAAGAAACATCTAAAAAGGTAAAAAATATATTTTTAACATGATTTCAGGCATGTGTGAATGGGAACACACAACAAACAGTGGGGTTTTCTCAAACCCGACAACAAAAGTGGAAATATCCCTTAAATACTCCTCAGTAGTGATAGGCTCGGCGTGTTCACAGCTCCACGTGCCGAGCCCGCCAGGAAGCTGACAGCGCCAATCACAGGTACTGAGACATTATCCCGGTCCGCAGCTGCAAAGATCGGGATATGTCTCAGTGCCTGTGATTGGCGCTGCGGCGCTGTCAGCTTCATGGCGAGCTCGGCACGTGGAGCTGCGAACACGCCCGAGCCCATCACTACTCCTCAGCTCCGACATCCTATATGAGGGTGGCTACATTCGCTGTGCATTGTCCCACTGTGTGTGGTAACGTAGTCACTCTCTGCTACTTGCTCCTGAGATAAAGTGCAATAATATGTGCAGACACATCCAGCGCCGTCACGTAAAAGCAGAGCAGCCATTGATAACATCACCACCTACACAGTACCACCCCCCAGCATTCAAGCCTCAAACAAAAGAGCAGTAGAAGTGACAGGCCCAAGGACACACAATATACTGTACTTGCAATGCTCGATCCTACAAACTGAAAGTAAGGGCAAAGGAGTCTGCCATGGAGACAAGTTTGATATCAAGAAAAAAAATGGTATGTGCAATTTACTGGCACATTTTAATAATGGTGATAACTATAGGCTGCAGACTTTATACAAACCAGTAGAGTTTAGCAATTATTGCTTTATTTAGAAATAAAACCTTTTCTCTGTGCTGAATTTCCCTCTGGGATACAAGGGGGATAGGCAGGTTAATGTTAACGTAATTATCCCTGTCTGTACTGTGTTTTGGCAGATATTATCAGATGTAAACTAGATTTGAACACTACCTGCTCTAACAAAGGGTTAAAGATCCAGAAGCATTGTATGTTAATAAGATCTTAGGCCCCATTCACATGTAGCGACATACCTTTGCAGCGGCCGGAATAGCGCGACTTTCGGGGCGACGATCCAGCGACGGTAGCGCGACCTTCTCCGTCGTGCTCCATAGAAAAAAAGCAAAATCGCGCAAAATCCGCCGAAAAAAGGGTCCGGTAGAAGCGACTTGCGACCGCGACGAGCGACATGGAGCTAAGACAGCTCCATTGACCATCATTAGCCGGCGACTTCTCGCGATATCGCACGGCAAAAATGCGCAAAATCGCGCGATAAGTCGCTACATATGAACGGGGCTTTAGTGTGTACCTAGTCTATGAGCACAGCAAGAGTTTCCTGTCTCAGAAGGCTTGCTACACACATCTTCAAGGTAAGACGTATCTTTTTAAAAATGCTTTAGATATGCTGTGTGAATGGTTAACACGTAACAAACATAGTGGGGGTAGATGAGCAGAGCATCACTCCTTCACTGATGGAAATGCTGCAAAAAGTCACTTGTCAATGACTGAGTAGTGGCTTGCTCAACTGGTCAGTGAAAGCATTGAATGAAAATAGGTGAATATCTCGCTGACCTGTATAGCAATCTTGGCACTGGCAGGTTTTTGCCAGCAACAATACTGCTAGTGTGCTATGGCCTTAAAATTTAGAGGCTCTAGTATTTGACACTTTAAAAGGAGGAGAACTATGAGGCGAGTGCTTTTCACTCACCTCATAGTTCTAGCCGACCTGTGACAATGAGACTGTCACAGGTCAGCTCAGTAGATCGGGAGGTGAGCGAACACATACCGGGTTCGCTCGCCTCTCGGCAGAGAGCCGTGACAGGGGGAGGGGCTGGATTCCCCTCTCCCCGCTCCGATCTGCCAGCGCTGACTGGCGGAACGGACGGGGGAGGGTACAGCTGGCTCTGCCTTTAGATAGGCGGAGCCAGCTGTCACTCACGCAGCTGGGCGGATCCCGTCATCTAAGTCGTGATCCGCTCCGGCGTCTCTGTATACCGCGAGCTACAGCTCGCGGTATACTGAGCTTAGGGTGACGGGAGGACGCTAGTTTGTGTCCTCCCGTTACCCTAAGGAGAACTATGGGGGAAAACACTGACCCCATAGTTCTCCTTTAATGATAAAACTTTGGCCATTAGGGGTGCATTAAAGTTAGCATAAAGTTTCAGAATCAGGTTAATAGTTAAGGATTTTTCTCCTTTTAGGGGTTAGGTAAAGTGTTAGGGGGTTTTAAGATTTTCACTTGTTCTCAACGTTGAAAACTACGGGGAGCAGCACTGGGCTCCTCGTAACAATAAACTGTACCCCAGGTGCTCGTTTGTCTCTCAAACATACTGCCAGGTTAGTCATTTGTATCTGTATACCTGCACATACCTGCACCAGACTCCAAAACCCTGCCCTTAGAGCTGAATCCTGGATCAATCTGATGAGTACAGCTCCAACACTTTCTGGCAGTGTCAAAGCTTTCCCAATCCTTCCTGCCTATTCGTTCCTATCATCACAATAAATCAGTCCATTACAGCGTTGCTCCAATAGGAATATGTGTGGGCAAGAGGTATCAAGGTCCTATAGCAGCATCAGAGACTTAAATGTCAAAAGAGTAGGATTTGGAGCTTTTCTATTTATTTATTTTTTAGAAGGGGGTAACAAGGTTTAAAGACAGTCAGCTTAAATACAGCAATGTAAACTTTTCTTCTAAAAGTTTATCTTATCTGTGGATCTAATGATCATTTTGATATGTGGTTCTTTACTACAGTGATCTATGCGTATTCATTTTTTTCATCATCAGCTCAGCTTGAATTGCCCAGATTGCGACAGGTTACTTAAGAGAATGTTCTTCTGCAAAGGCAGCTGTGGTCTATGGGTGGAATCTAAGAAATGTCTTCTTTGACAAAGTCTATGCACTATTTGGGTTACTTCAAACAAACAAATAAACTGCATCTTTTCGTAAAATCGCCTTTGCACCACTCTTCTTTATGGACATAGTTTCTAACATTTAAATGGGGGGGGGGCATGAGGGGGGGGGAATTCCAGTCAGAGCACCTGCTTACTCACCACTTAATCTGAATTACAGCTATACTCATCAAGAGCTGTGTCTGCAAAAAATCAACTAGGTCAGTGATGGCAAACGTTTTTGAACCCGAGTGTCCAAACTGCGACGCAAAATCAATTTATCTCAAAGTGCCAGCGCTGAACATAAGTATTGTATTGTATTGCAGTTTGGGCGCTGGGCTTTAAAAAACATTCAACATCACTGCCTTATGCTGGGCACACACCTTACAACCATCGCAAGACTTTTGTCTTGCGATGGTTGTAAGGTACTTAAAAAAAAAGTACGATCTGCCTATCTTGGACAGGCAGATCGTACTTGCGATGATCGCAAGCCGCGCCCCCCTGAGGGGCGGACTTCCGATGACCGCAATGCCGTACGGACATGCCACAAACCCGCCGAACATCGTACGATGCTTGGCGGGTTTTCTAACATGTTCGTAAGATAAAAGTCGTGCGACCTTACAGTAGTAGAGGTCGCACGGCTTCCACACACCTTACGATAATCGTACGATCGCGGGATTTCCCACGATTATCGTAAGGTGTGTGAGCATCCTTAGGCAAAATAGGGAAACACACATATGCAAACATTTATACACTCAATAAAACACACATCACACACTGATTATAAAAAGAAACCACACATACATAGATATCACACACACACATAATGAAAACGCACACATTAAAACACACACATCAAAAAACACACCATTCAAACAAATATTTAATTTAAATATATGCGGTGAGGAGAGAGCCGCCGGCTGTCAGATCCAGGCCGAGCGTCTCTCTCTCTCCTCACCGCTGATGATAGCGGCTCCGACCCCCGCTGCTGCCTGCAGCACCTCGTTCACTTCTCGGATCCCCGCTGCATACAGATGGGGGAGAGCAGCGGGGATCCAGAGAAGCCCCACGTCAGGAGGAATGGACACCGCGATCTACGAGAGAGAGAGAGAGAGGG